CAGATGAATTATTGTTAGCCGGAAAGAGCAATACATACCTGGTGCATTAGTAAATCATAGGTGACGAGCACTGCACCAGCCCGCGCGATGATGCGTTTTTGCAGTGTTTCGCGCTGTAATAAGATCACTCGAGATTTCAGTAGCTAGAAACTTCTGACATACTGATCCTCGAATTTCGGGAATTATCCATGCTATACTTGAACAGGGAACATTCCCTTGAAATCCCAGGTTCCCAGTTTTCCCAGTTCCCGAGTTACCCAAATTCCAGCCAGAAAATTTCACAGGCCATACGGAGCAACCACGCGTGACTGGTGGCTGGACTTGATAAACTTAGGCAGTGAATTGCTTGTGAAGCAGAATATTCACGGTTCACTGCCTGCTTCTTGTCGAGCTATGAGCGACCGAACCCACATCGGCACGTAGAATATTTCAAGGCATACACGTTTCCTTTTTTAAGTTTTTTGTGCGTTCTGCGCTTTGTAACATCAACACAAAAGGCATATTGTCACGTCTCCGTCGGTGTGTGTTTGTGTTTGTCCAAGTCCATTTTGTCCCGCACTTTCAACTCGGGAATTGCGAAAGCTAGGAAGCTGAGATTTTAGTGTAACGTTCCCCGTTCAGGTGCAACCCGCAAACTTAAATTCAGCCTTCAGTTTCTCCCGGGCACCATGTACGACAACTGGGAAATTTTGGTGAGGAAAATTACTATCTCGGAAACCACGAAAGCTAGGAGCTGAAATTTTACAGGACTGATCCTTCTCCACGTGCGACACTTTAAATTCAGCGCTTCCGCTGAAGACCGCGTATGGCCTCGTGAAAGCTTCGGTGAGGAAAACTATCTCGAGAGCCATGAAAGCTAGGAAGCCAGAATTTTAGGCTAATGTTCTCTGCCAATACAAAACCCGCAAATTCGAATTCAGCTTCCTCGTGAGCCTAGGTCTCACGTATGACCCTGTGGAGTTTATGATGGGAAAAATTACTGTTTCGGAAGCAAGAACAGCTAGGG